GGGGTATAAAGAGATAATTTTGGGATTCTATTTTATGGTGTTATTCATTAGTATAATGGAACAAGGATATTTTTTTTTTGTTATTGGTTTTTTAGAATACTAGTGAGACAATTTCACCACTTTGGATAAAATAAACTCAGTTATATACAAAAAATTATCCTAGTAATAAAAATTTATCCTATCCTCCATATTGGAACAATTTTGTTCCACTTTGAAGGCAATTAGGATAATTTTCAAACCTTTTTGTATTACTTAACTAATACATGCTAATTATATTATAAATATATGACATGACATATAAAATATAAAGTAATAATATATTCAATATATTATATTATATTATCATGTAATAAAATAAAATATTATTATAGTTTAATTTATATGTATAATTTATTTTATAATATTTATTATACATTATTTTTGCAATATCATATATTTTATTATATAATAGTACAACAAATTTATTATAATATTAAATAATATTTTAATAACATATATTATTATATAATATGTTATATTCATTATAGTTGATATTTTATTGTAGCAATTATATTATAGTGTATTATATTAAACAAATATAATAATATAGTATAATATAATATAACATATTAAAATTAATAAACATGTTAGTATATTACATTTAATTATAAAATATAATATAATATAAATCATGTTATATGATTATATTATATTATATTATATTAATATAATAAAATTATTATTGTACTATAATATAATACATTTTAGATATTTTTTATATATCATCAGTAATATCTATATATATTAAACTATATTTTAATTACAATATAATTTTTAAATAATATTATATGAATAAAAATATATATTATTATTAATAATACATGTAATATATATATATATATATATATATATATATAATATATATATATATATATATATAATTATAATATAATATTTTTAAAAATATACATTGAATAAAGTAAAATATTATAATACTTTATACATTACATTATATCCTATGGTACTATATTATAATAATTAAATTAAATAATATATTATTAAATATATTGTTGCATATATTATATCTCAATTATTATATAATGTAGCATACTAATATAATGTAATATAATATAATAATTAATAATATTAATTTAGTAATTATAGTATAACCTATTATATTTTTGTATAAATAAAATAATGTATATATTAAATATTACTATATTAATAAAATATTATATTAAAATATATTAGTCTTATATTATATTAATTATTATATAGTAGAGGCATGCTAATATAATATAATATAATAATTAATATATTAATTAGTAATTATAGTACAATATATTATAATGTAATATAATATAATAATTAATAATATTAATTAGTAATTATAGTATAACCTATTATATTTTTGTATAAATAAAATAATGTATTATATTAATATATTGATCTTATATTATATTAATTATTATATAGTAGAGGCATGCTAATATAATGTAATATAATAATTAGTAATTATAGTACAATATATTATATTTTAATTTAAAGTAAAATAATGTTTATATTATAATAATATACTAAACCAATTGGGTAAGTTAATTTAGAAGTAATTAATAGATAAAATTATATTTTAATAAGGTGACATATTATCAATTATCCCACATGAATTGTCAAATCAAATGCTCAAATTGTCCCATTATCCAACTTATCTCACTTTACCACCACTCAAAATATCCCAAAGGGATAAAATTGTTCCATTGGAATAATTTTCTCACTTGGCCCTAATTTGTCCTAACCTAAGGGGCTGTTTAGGGAGCGATGATGCTGAGTGTAAGTCTCTATTAGCAATAGTAGTTGATACGTTATCTGGGGGCTTGTTCGAATCATGGATAATGAGGGATAAGGAAATTTAGTAGAATCTTTATACTTAGTTTGAAATTAACTTATGCTAGGTAATGAGGGAGAAGAGAAGGTAAATGAGGAGAGAAAATTTAAGTATTTGTTACCTCTAACTTGGGGTGTAACTAGGGTGAAGGAAACGTAAGGAAACTTCTAATAAAAAAATAATTGTCGAAAGATCATTTTACTTTCTATCTAATTTTCTAATAATAAAATGAATTAATAACATTCAAGATTATTGATGTAAGCTTACAAATATCCCTTTCATTCCCTTCACTTTATTAAACTTTCTAAACAGTGTGAAGTAAGTTTCCCTTGATTCCCCTTTCTAATTTCATAAACAAGTTCTACATATTCTCTTATATGTCCTTAACTTATCCTATAATTCCTATCAATTTTTAATTTAACCTATACTCCCGGAACTTTTATTCACTAGGTGCAAATTCAAACAAGCCATGAGGGAAGAGGCGAAAGGTAGAAAGGCCTGTTACTGGGAGTTAACCTTAAATTTAAAAGGGGTTTTCTAATAATCCCTAAACCTAAAGGTTTTTTGATATTTTGAAAGTTGAGAGAGGTTTTTTGATAATCGCCCAAAATTAAGGGGGATTTTCTTATAATGATATCATATATTAAACAGTAGTCATAACTATAACTATACTACTAATCGTACATATGAGCTGAAAGACATAGTAGAGGGTGGTGTCGAGTAGCAAACAATTAAACTAATGCATGCTCGGTTATCATCCATTAGTGAGACCATTATAATAGAATGAATAATTACTTTTTGGATCCAATGTGTGGGACCTTGGGACAACTCATGAGGTGTTTTTTTTTTCTCATTTATAATCCAAGTTAGACAAACACAGCACAGTAATTAAGGGGTACTCTTGTAGTCCTAGACACAATGAAGTGGGGTCCATTACAACTCATAAGAACTTTGCTACAGGGACCCAAAATATGGCACCAATAGGGGGACAAGTGAGATGTCCCCCTCCTATTGGATAATGAGTTGACCATCATTAATGATGGCCAACTATTATCCAATAAGAGGGGGACACCTCACTTGTCCTCCCTATTGGTCCCATATTTTGGGTCACTGAGAAATTTTTCTGTGTGTACAATTATCACTTATCTTCTTTGTTCTTCCTCAGACTTCTTTCTTCTGATCTTCGATGGTTCTACCATTACTGATGAAAAAGAACAATTCAATCCTTTCTCATTTAGCATTATTTCTCCTATGTGATTTGAACTTACAAAAAGAGAAACTATATATTAATCAAATATTAGTGGGGTGATCATTTATTATGAGATGAATCTATCCAATAATAGGTTTCTCCACCCTAGGGCACTATCAGAAATGAAGGTAAATCGAAATAATCAATGAAGAGAGGAAAAACATTCTATTATCAAATATTAACATCTGTGGAGACCAATTATACACTATCAAAGATATTAACATCGTTGTTCTTTGTAGACAATACTTAATATATAGAAGTCTTGTATCAAAATTTGTTTAAACTCAAAATGTCCAGCGGCTCAACAAAATACCCAAACGAGTGAACGACGCAGTTACCTTAGGCATTGAATGTTGGATATTTTATTTGAAAAAGGCAAATTTGCCTTCATGAATAATAATAAATATTGTAATTAAAACATGCAATTAAAACTTTGGTAATGGTTATACAATTATGGTTAACGTTACCGAATTTATTGAGGGGTTTTGTAACGGTTTTCTAAAAGCCTATATATACGGCCTTTCTCTTCTCGGAAAAAGAATAAATCCGAATAAAATAAATAAGAGATTTAGAAATTCAGGCCTGACATTTGGAAGGTCTCATTTGTAGGCAACCAATTTGTAACCTCTTATAATAGAAGAATTTTAAAATTTTTATGCATTTGAATTATGAAGTATGAAATATATTTTAAGCTACGAAAATATTTTTTAAGATACGAAATCCTATTATGCTCTGCATGTATCTATTATTAATTTCATTCATGTATGTGCATATGCATAACTGCAGAATTTTTAGTTCCACATTAGTTTGAAATGTTCAGATATTAAGGTCAATCTCTTCAGACATAGACTATGATCTTTTATGATCATAGATCATGACCTAATGTCAATTTCAAACAATATGATGGACTAATTACAAAATAAGAACTTGATAAATTACTACAACGCCTGCTAGGCAAAGTTATGATTCTAGACTTTGTAAAGTCTGTGAAAAGAATCTTGATGACCCTTTGACTAAGGGATTATCCAGGAGTGTGGTTCTGGATTCATCGAGGGAGATGGGGTTAAGCCCATAGATGAGGTCACTGACAGCGGCAACCCAACCCTTATTTGGAGGCGTAGTCCCAATGTCGGTTCAATGTGGTAGAAACAAGCTGGACTAGTGACACTCGTGTGGAGCATCGACCTAGATATATTTATATATCATTATGTAGCATTTTCTACTACCCCTTCTCTATGATGACGATGCTCTTATGATACAGCTGGCTAGGCTGAGTTTTACTCTTAATAAGTCCAACGCGTGTATTATGGGGGTATTAAATAAACAGCTGTAGTACCCTTTGAGGACTTACCTACGTGAGAGGAACCGTGATGGCCGCGGTTAGGGGGGGTTGGGCTAACCCCTAGAAACTCTCATGAGTCGGTTTATTGTGAGCATGGCCTTTAACGCTCAACCCGCTTTGCTCAATAGATGAAGCGTATTGTGTGTGTTTTCATCAATACCTGATTAAAGGGGCCTAATTCAAGGCCTAGTCCATTATGTCCCTCAGGTGGCGATGAACTCACTAAGGAAAGGTTCAAAGCCGGAAGCTACCTCTCCCGAACTCACGATACGAAAGGTTGCCCAACCTATAATTGATTTATGATTTTTGTGATTTATTTATTGGCTTTTGAGTTTTCAGTCAATATTGCCTTTTGGGGGGACTGTTGGATATTTTATTAGAAAAAGGCAAATTTGCCTTCATGAATAATAATAAATATTGTAATTAAAACATGCAATTAAAACTTTAGTAACGGTTATACAACTATGGTTAACGTTACCGAAT